TTGAAGGGTTTCCAAGTACTACTAGCACTACTCACACATTTTTAGGCTGAGTAGAAACCCGAAGTTCCCACTGTGCCACAATCCTTACAGTAATGTGATTTATGTTTGCTCTAATTTGCTTTATTCCTCACATCCTTTGAAACAGTTTTCATCTGTCTGAAAAATATTAAACTGCTAACATAGCTGTGAAAATTTAAGGAATTTGAAAATTTAAGGAAGAAAATTTAAAGAATGTATCAAAGTACAACATGTGAATTCTGTTGGAAATGGGATCTGTCAGCCTATCTCAGTCAGGCTGACTCTATTTTGACTATGAGGCTTGTGCAAGTCTTATCTGCTATCTTTTGTCTAAAACCATGGCATTACGTGGGGGAACATGCCCCCACTGCCCAACAAAAATACCTCTAAACACTAATGCACACAGCATGGGGAAAAAACAGGGCGAATTGTACAAGCGTGTGTGATTGCAGGTCTTTGATCTCAYTGCAATTACTGAGACATGGTGGGACAGCTCCCATGACTGGAAAGTGGCCATGGAGGGCTCCAGGCTTTTCAGGAAGGACAGGCCAGGAAGGCGAGGTGGCAGAGTTGCTCTTTACATGACAGAGCAACTGGAATGTATGGAGCTCAACATAGGGGAGGATGTCAGCATGTCAGCAAAGGATGTCAGGGACAACAGGAAGGGCTTCTACAAATACATCAGCAGTAAGAAGAAGACTAGGAAAAATTTCATATCTATTACCTGAAATCCTAGAATACTCTTTTTCTTTTCCTTCCTCCCTTCATTACATAGGGTTCCTGGGGAAGTTCTCTGATAACTGAAAATCACAATGAACCAGCAGCAGGTTGGTCTTTCATCAGATTTAAAAAAAAAAAAAAAAGATAACTGAAAATCACAATGAACCAGCAGCAGGTTGGTCTTTCATCAGATTTAAAAAAAAAAAAAAAAAGCACAACAAAACTGAGTGCTCATAAACTGAAGTCAGATATATTCAGATTACAAATAAGATATATTTCTTTTAACAATGAGCTTAATTAAATATGGGAATAGAATAGTAAAGGACGTGAGAGATTTTCTGATTGTTTTAAACCCTGAGGAAGCATCAAGTACCTTTCTAAGAGTTTAGTTTTACCTGTAGCTAAAGCTGGGAATTCTTGGATCAATCTCCTAAGCTTGTGCTATTGCAGATGTCAAACTAGCTGAAAATACTAGTTTATTCCAACCGTATCATTCAAGAACCTATTAAGAATCAAATCCTCAGTGGAAGCATTCTTCATTTGACCACTGGATACAAGAACTCTGATAAGATCATATCCAGCTGCCATTGCTGAGGCATAATGTATGAAGATGAAAGGTAAGCTGACATATAGYGAGGATTTTAAATACCATCTAACAGCAAAGCTGTCAAGATTGCAAAGACCTTCCCAATTCTCGATCCACTGTTTTTAAATACAGCATAAGGCAAGAAAAGCTATGCAAAATAAATACAGGAACAGAGATAATGTAAGCCACCTACTGTTCCAAGTAAAGTATCATCTTATCATAAAGAACGAACATACCAGAATATTTCCCCAATGASGATAGAAAGGTTTATTTTCACCTCATAAAACCTTTCTCAGCAGCAAGTAAAGGTACGAAGGATACCTGCACCTTTATCTGACACACACAACTATCTAATTTCTCTTATTTTAATACTACAGACAATGTTTTGGATGATGGCTTCACAAATGTGAGAATAAAACTTATCTGCACTCATTAGGTAAAATGTCATAGCAACACTGATTGCTATGAGTTCATTATGAATTACTTCCCCATGTTATAATGCAGTTTTGTAGTAGAACTCTGACATGTGCAATTAGAAACAGTTCAAGAAATGTGAGTTTTCTGCTCTTCGCTTTATGGCAGCATGCTGATTATGAGTAAGGTTTCCTATTTACTCTGGCAGTGGGTTAAAAAAGATGTTAACAGCCTGGTTCTTTGRAAACACAGAATTTAGCTCAGTATCATCAACAAAATAATACATAATAAACACCAGCTGCAATTGTCAAGAATGACAATGTTGAATATGCTGCACAGAGCTAGTTTTTGTAATATCAAAATATCAGCCCAAACAAAACCCATAAGCCAGAAAGTCCTAAGAGCTGTGGATGCTAAGGGCATCAGCCCTTGCCTCTATCACAGAGCATTCCAAGACCATAACRTTTCAAGAATTTCGAGCTCTGTAACATACTAATGGAGTTCAATCAGTAAAAACGAAATTACATCAGTTAAACCCTGTAGGACAAATTTTCATGTCAGTCACTTTACTACAATCCTCCTGAAGTCAAATGCAATTGCATGTGTTCAGCTTAACAGAATTGGCACATAGAGTTGATAKCTGCTATTCAGTCTCAGTACTAGCTTATGAACTGTTGCATTTCTAAACTTCCATATGACTATATGCTCAAGAGCGACTACACAATTCTTTGGTCAACTTTGACCTCATTGAGAGGCTTTACACTGATTTTAAAAGATTTTGGATTGATTTCTTGCTGTCAGGTGTACAAAATATGAATTTCTATAAATTTGCAATATGTAATTTATTGGCAATTGCACTTAGCTCTTGCCAAGGAGCACAGGGATGTGGGTTACTTTCAGGTATGTTAGAACACACATACAAATGTAGTATTTAAATCAGTAAAAGCTAGAGTTACAAATAATGAACTAAACTGAACACACTGATACCCCTTGCTGTAGTAAATTGCAGTGATAGATAGACAGAACTCGTGTTTGCACGGGCATGTAGCTCCCATGCTAAGGCCAAGTATGGCTGGGCACACAAAAACCAGAATAATGCGCAGCATGACATAAGCACCTGCATGGATTTCCACCAAACTCTCCAGGAGTCTGAGAGCAAACTTCCCCACTGAGGCACTGGCACACAGAAAACAAGGACTATGAAAGAACAGATGTAATTACAGACACATATGATATAAAGATTATTTATAAGATAAGAAAGCAGCCAAGAGGAGCCATGCAACATTTCCCTGAAGCGGATGAAAAATAATTACATGCAGCCTTTCAAGAAAGATAGATTAAACACAAGAGGAAATTGTAAATGCACCTCCCTCAAAAATCTGACACAACTAATAACAGTCTTAGCAGATACAATCAGCTCTTTGCTTGTCTATACTATGATTCTCTTGTCAGTCTTAGAAACTAAGAGGTAACCCAAGCAGATTGCCCAAGCAGTGATTAATATTCTCAGCATATGGTAATGTTCTTTCACTCAGTACCAAGCTCATCATGTAACCTTAGCTGTCTTCGACTAGAGGGCATGACAAGTAATTCATTGACTTAATTTAGCCTTATGAAAAGCAGCAGGATTMTATGAAAGAAAATTAAAAATGAGCATAAAAAGCAGGAAAATACGTTTGCCACTYTGCTTGTTCACTTTGCTGGCTTAGCCATAGGGATATGCTGATTCTTCTTTTGTATTGGGATTTATTCTCTGCATAAAGTAAGGTTCATTTGAAAAAGCCAAGCAGAAGGAGATTTCAAAAGTGTGTTAATTAAATGTTGATGAGAATCTCTGTGGACGCCCACAAAAGCGGATATGCAGGAAATATCTGTTAATATGTCCAAATTTGTGCAGGAAAACTAATTTTAATCAAATATATCTGGTTTTATTTTTATGAATCGATGCTGTATCAGTATGCTGTGGCCTTTTAACTCCAAACTATTATGTATGGAATCCTGCCAGAGAGGAATTCACAGGACAGGCAAGCTGTTACACTGAAAAATAATGCTTATAAAAAGGCTTTCTCTTTCTCTTGAGTTTTAGGTAGTGACTGTGAGGACAAGTTTTTGTCCTTTTTTCTTTTTATCTTTTTGTCTTATGAGTTTTATTAAAGCCCAATCTCATCATATTTGCCGTCTTAAGGAAGGGACTACCTTAATGATGTTTCAGGATAAAAGCTACTGCATCACCCTGTATTTCAAAATTACAGTCTATTCCAGAGAGGTAGTCGAGTTACCTTAAAACAGGCCAGATGGGGTACTGCCGGCTATGGCAGCACATAGCAGATAAAACTGAGATTATGCTGAACTATAGGCTGCCCACACTGCACTACAATTTTCCATCTAGATAAACTCTGAATTTGTGTAGGAGGTAAAGCTCCTTTTTAGGCACTAGCTGGAACAATTCCTTAGCCTCTCCACCAGATCTTCTCAGCTCTCCCATGCATTGCCAAAAGAAACGCTACAAAATGACATGGTGCAGGATATAACTTCTCCTGTGATAAATATTGCACAGGAGACTAAAGAAGATTTTTTCCCATATCATTCATATAAAAATCATTAAATATGCTTACTTTGCAAGCATATACTTTCGACCATATAGCAAACATGGAATTACTGATATACCCTTACTTACCAAAACAGCAATAGCTCCATAATAAAAAGTCTGTCTGTCTCTCTCTTTGTACAGTGGTTGTAATAGACATACGTCATCCAACTATCACCATTTATCATATCACCACCAGAAGCTCGATTTTGTCAGGTATCCTACAACCTCAACTTCTAATAAGATCACTAAAACCTGAAGTGATTCAGATTTTCAGATTCAGAGAAGGGAATCAACATGAAAATTTATGGTCCCATCTTGTTAAGGGAAGCACAAGTATATTACAAGAATGTATTTGAAAAGCATAGTCTCGTGGGCATAATATAGCAAAACATGAAGTAAGATATGCATAAATTCCTTACACATTGCTTTGCAAATATAGCTCATTTGATACAGATGCTGCACAGATGCCCTATTACCACCTTGGCTGAGAAAGATCCCCATCACAGTTAGGTCTGCCCAAATAAGGGCTTGACATTCAAGATCAAGCAGTAAATGGACATAACGGATGAATACGTGCTGACATGCCAGAATGCTTTTGTCCCAGGTCTGGAATCTGCAACATCACAGCTTGACAGGCCTCTATCAAAGCCCAAAGTAATTAAGTGCACTTACATGTACTCCCTGTGTGCAGAATGCACAGCTGCCGCGTTGCTGTAACGCCACAGGACRATCACTGATGACAAAACGTCCAGCGTAGCATCGAACTGAAAGAGATACAGTCAGCTGGTCTGTGGGCCATTAACGTGCCTTGCACTTACACAGCGCATTTATCATCACCATGCTGCACAGGCACAAAGCAGCTTCAGAGATATCATTTTAATGAAAGTAGGATTTACATTCATTAAATTGATTGATCTTCACATTTTCCCATATATTATTGCACAATAATACGCTTTAGAGCTCAGTAAATCAATCAAGGGATTAAGAACTTGATGCTTGTAAGCCATCACCTAAGGGGAAGTTCAAAAAAAAAAAATCAACCTGCTGCTGTGGTGCCGTAAGAGTTAAAACACTAATGAGATTCTTTCTAAAATAAAAAATGTTTTAAAATACCAGACAAGCATTCATTTTCCCTGGAAATTCATTAATTCTCTTCAATAGAAGATTTTATTTCAGAGTAAAGAAATAATTACTTCAAAACCTCAGTTTATATAAGATGGTCTATTATTYTATATTATCATCGAAATCAACATAATTTGTATTTTACATAAATGACGGTGTGAAGTAACACCTACAAATTCTTCAAAATATTGGCTTGTCCCACCATAAGTACCCCATATTCAAGTCAAACTTTYTACAGAGTCAAATGAGCCAAAATATTTCACAGCTCAGCTATTTTWCATTTCACATATTTTGCTCTGCACAGAACAGTAAAATCACAGCAATTTGCAGAGAGCAAAATTGTCATTCCTAAGTGAATTGGAGTTTTATCATAGATTCCAATAAGAAAAGAATCACAAAAATTTCAGAACGGAACTTCAGAATTTGGATCAAGTTCAACATGAAAAATGGAAAAGCTGAGAAATTTTGTAGCGCTAAGCCTGATGGATAGTCTCTATCAATCACAAGATACAAACAGTGATATTAACTCAGTATAAGATTTCATTATACTTTTTCCATTTTTGACTATGAAAACATCTTTATCCTTTCCCAAGAGGTGACTTCAAAAATATTTTTCCTGAACAATCACTATTTTGCAACCTTATCATGAACTTAAAATAAGAAAAAAAATCAGAAAAATCTGAAATAGCACAAGATAAAAATTAAAGGGAATGTTTAAATTGTAACTCTACTTACAGCAAATCCAAATGATGATGCACTGTATCTCATTACGGAGACAGCTAAAGGAAAGAAAATATTATTTAGAATCATTTAAAATCTTGTCTTAGATCTTCTTTTCTCATCTGGGAACTGCAAAAATTTCAAATAGTAGTCTGTAACATCCTAACACTTTTTAAATGAGGGCATGAGACAGCCTGCTATACTTTCCCTGCCTTATATTTTGAAAAGCTTTCCCCTGCTTTTTGAGAGGGGAAAAACTCAGAAGAAAACTCAGTCAGCTCAGTAAAATTCATTGTCCCTACTGTGTTTATTCAAGCATTATCAAGCAGTATGGTTGAGACTTCAATGAATTGTGTCATAAGCTAATAGTAATACTGTATTTATGAGCAAACTCATAACATGGAACAGCATTGAACACTTTCTACTGTCTGTGGATTGTAGAGTGAAAAAAGGACTCATTGAGCAGGGCCTAAAATGCATAAAAAGGACTCCAGTTTTAACATCTAAGATGTTTCTGAATAAAGCATAACCAGAATAATTTTTTTACTCTTTCATGAATAGATCATGATCAGCTAATCTGGTAAGAATACATTTCAGAAAAACATAAAAATACTTCTACGAAACTAGACTCATTAACAACTTTGTCARTCTTCAGCTGACAAAAGCAATATCTGATTTTTCATATTTCAGAATTCATTAGAACAGCTTGGCAGAAGAGAGTTACTATGATTTGACTGTTCTTTTCAGAAACTGTGAGCTACTGTTCTGTGTCTGTATAAACATTCAGTTAAAATCTTAAAATAAATAGCCCTTTTCTTACTTAAGATATCACAAAAGTATCACAACTCTTTGGACTAGGAAACATTACAAAATCCATATCCAGATTTCTCACAGTTGAAGTGTATACAAATGGTAAGTATGGATTAACACCTCTCTCTCATTGTTAAATTGTCATTTTCTATACACCACCTCCCAGATGAAGAAACAGGCTGTACCCCTTGGTCAAACTTGCCAGGCAAGAGCTACATTTGACAGGTAGATGCCAACTTAGAGTACTCCAAATGCAAATTTGAACACTGCAATGTATCCCAAAGTCCTACCTATCAAATTCACATTGCTTGTCTTTTACTGCTTAGAGACACAGAGTTTCCAAAGCTGCATAAACTGCATCAACAAAACACAGATATTCATACGCACACATGTGCTCAGGCTGTTTCTGCAGTCACTGTTTTCCTATGAGGAAGCTCAAAGCCACACTTTCTTTTCCCCCTCTGACTCCTATTTCCAGACTGCCTCTCTAGTGGAATTATCTCCTCTACTTGTGCTAAATCGACAGCTTTCACCTTCACTGTAGACGAGATTTAGAATAAATTTACTCAATARTCTGCTTAAAAATAGAGTTTCTAGATATAAGCACATACAGACAGCCGGGCCTTAAGAATCCTCTAAGGGACACATTTGGTGTATTTAAAGCATAAGGTCCTCACTGTAAGAACTATCTTTGTTTTTATATATTCTACAGCGAATATGCACTGCACTAAACACACAATCTGTTTCACTTGCACTATCTGAAACCATAATTAAAAACAAATATTAATTGTTGGACCAACAGTATCAAAAGCCTGATCAAACCTCTTTGATAGCTAGCATGACTGGTAGACTATGGAGCCTTGGAAATCCYGAGGACAGCAAATTGCAGTGATGCAAGTTAAAAGACTATAATAAATAATGACAATATAATGACAACGTAAGCAGCTGAAAGATGTAATTTTACATTCCTTCATCACTTAAGAGTTTTCTAACAGAAATAATAACCCATTTGTCTCTCTTTCCAAGTCAGGTAACAATGCTACAGCACCTTTAGCATTGCCTTCAGCACAGTAATGCTTAATCATCATACATAATGTTATAAGGCTCTCCAATAAATGAGAGCAAGTTAATTGCAATATTTCTCCATGATTCTCGTCTCTAAAACAGATTAAGCATCCTACAGGGGACCAGCTATTACAGCTTGACACAGCCTGACCACCTCTTGCAAAGAGAGAGACTGAGTACCATTCAATAGGTTAAAGAAGAAAGAAGYTGACTTGCAGGGAAACACATTTTAGAGCCCAAGCACTTGAGACCGCAGCTAGAAGCCCGATGGATAACCACCGGTCCTACTGAATGGTCTCCAGAATCGCTGCCGTGCACCACGAGCAGCGTGCAGCACTGCAGGAACAGAGCAGGGAGCCTTGCTGAACCCTCATCTCCTCTCTCCTCAATGCACATTCTGTTCTTCCCAGATGACAGTCTGATGTTAAGAAAAGACTGTAACTCCTAATCTCTGTATTGAACCACAACAATGATAAGAAACAAGCAGTGAGGAAAGAACAGAGCAGGTCTCTTAAAATAATATTGTGGTGTTGCTATATACAGTTAGAAGCTACATGTGGGACATGCTTTTAGCTTTCTATTGGCTAAACTGGACAACATTTTATTAGCTCTACAGCAAAGCAGATAATCCTAATGCATCTCCCTGGCATTTGTTAATGGAACTTGCAAGCAGTCGGAAACTAAAAACAGTGATGGCACAGTAAGCCACAAAGCTACCACTGTCTCCACCTGTACAGCAACACCAGTTTGTAAAGTCTGCCAAGCTATAGGTCAGATTTTGCAGTAATTCATTCCCCTCCTTCACAGTAATGCCAAATAAAGAAAAAGACCCAATTTGCTACATTTTTTACCCTTGGCATAATAAGGTTATTTTTGTTCTCATCCCATAAACCTCAGAAAATGCAGATGGCTAGGCCCATTTTTGCACAAATACGTGAAGCAAGAAATAGAACAGCAATTTAACTCTGTCTCCAGCTCTCCCAAACAGAACTCTGCGTACCAGGGAGAAAGACGGCACATAAAAACAGGCCCTACATCAGTCAGAAAATCACATCTTATCTTCTTGGAGAAAAGGAAACTATTTCCAGGTATCACCTCAATGGGGCAATCACTTCATAGTGTTTGCTTTGAAGTCAGCCTTCTGAGAGACACATATAAATATCAGCATAAAAAAAATCACTGTCTCAAAGTGATCACCTGCAGGTAGCAGAAATCAGACAGGTGGCTTCAATATGACTGAAAATATGAGGTTTATTCCTGTATTGCCATGCATATTTTGCAGGTTGTACACAGTGACAAGCCAGAGGAACTTCAAGTTGTACTAAACCAGAATTGAAACTGAAATACAGTCTGTCTTCACTGCCCAGTGTTGGTAAAACATCAGAAATTAATGTTACAAAAAGTATTTCAAAATAAATCCATTCCAAGCACAGAAAACCAAATGAGTAATAATTTTTAAAAATCCACAAAAAATGCCTCACAACAATTGAAGGCAAAGAAATATGACTCTGATACCACTAATACTTGTATTATACTGACTAGAATTAACACACACACATTTCCCCAGAAAGCTAATCTATAACCACACTGCAATTTCAGAGTAAAATTTAAGAATTTTATGCATATGTCCAAAATTTCTGCAATCAACACAGTAGCTACAAATGACTGCTGAACATATGGAAATACCAGACATGGCAGCAGACATCTCATCTACATGAGGAGATCYAGTGCCATCCTTCAGCATCATGTTCTTACACCCATATTTCTATCCCAAAGCCATGGGCAAAACTGAAGCACAGCTACTTGTACAAAACACTCAGTGTTCAGTTTTTAAGGGGTAAATATCTTTTTTTGGTATTTAGCAAATTTTTATTTGGTATTGGTAAAATTGCTGCTGGTTCTACTTGCTATTTTTATATTAATATTAAAATCAAGATCCTTTAACCTAATTCTTCAGGAAAATAGGTTTTGAATTTTTAGGCTAACTGGAACTCTACTCAGCCTGACTTTTGTGACTTAATCCTACTTCAACATCTGTAGCAGGAAAGGGGACCATTTGTGAGATCTTTTTGGAGAGGAAGACTCAAGAAAGAAGAGGAAGTCCACCCAAACAAGTGAATTTGACTAAAAGGCAACAATTATATTTTGCTCTCATTTCCCCATTTATTGCCAGTAGAGCAGCCATACCTCCCTGGCATATTGCACAAAAGAACGGAACGGATCTGGCAACTGGGCAGGGCTATGCAATCCTAAAATGTCAAACAGTCCCATTCTAAACCAAGATACTAGTTACTGAATGATTAAGAAATTACCCACACAAAGAAAACAACAAATCATTTTTCTCTATAATACACAGTCGATGACAGTAGAAGAATACATATATATATATACACATGAAAAAGACAAGTATGCAACAATAAAAAGACTCAGACTGAAAGAAGATCAATTCTTGATTTCAGAAAAAGATAATGGCAGGACTTCTTCTAACACTTGTTGAAAGAACTTTTCATATATGTTGAAATAACTTTCACTGCCACATTGCAGTGGTGGTTATAACACTAAAATACAGACAGCCAAGTATACCAGAATAGCCAATTTTATGTGTCACAGCCAGTCTAAATTACATGAAAAAACATTCACCTAGGGAAAACTTTCTGAAAAGCAAAGTTGCAAGCAGGGAACTCCAATAAGGCAGAATTAAGAGCGTCCTGAGCCACATGAAAGCCTGAGCAGGGGTGGTATTATAGTGAATAGAGCACTGGCCAGATACTGCAAGATGGTTCCAGGAGAAAGTGGAGCCCCACCCCGCCCAGCATCCTGCTGCTTCACACACTCCAGTTCTTCCTTTCTCATAGGCCAACCTTCTGATTTCAAACAATATCTTCACAAAAAAAAAAAACCCAAAACCACAAATATGAAGTTCAAGGAATAAAAAGTGTTTTTTAGCCTTGCAGGGGGTTGGAACAGGAAGATAAACCATATGTTAATACTCCAGTCTTCTCAGGTTGAGGTTTTGCAGGAAACTGAATACACACAATCGCTTTTAAAAATGGGAATAGAACTTAAAAGGTCTGTAGAAGGCATACTAGCTATCCTTCCACGCACCTGATGCAAATTCTCTGAATTTCCACACACAGGTGTATAATTTGATCTGATGCCTTTCCAGTGGGACCACTTGAGTCAC